AAAATATCTCATCTACTACTGGACGGATTTTAACGAAACTTTCAGTTAAAATTACTGGATGAACATTTACAACTGATCAACCCCGTTCAAGATGGCCGCCACAACGAACTGCCTTTAAAAAAAACACAGAAATGGCTAAAGCTGTCATTTTTACTGATGTTTTTAAAGTTAGCCCGAACTGACTGCAACACTGTACTTTCTAAAAACAAAAGATGTTCCACCGCTGGAAGGTGGCGGGCGACATGCATTCCTTTAAGAAAAGCTCGACTTGCTCATTCAGACCGTAAAAATGTCAAACTTTCACCTGTTTTTACCATTCTTGTATCAAAAAGTTCGGCTTGTTCAGGATGTCACAGCTCTCATAAAAAAAAAAAATCTTGCTTTTTTATATTGTAGCAACTATTGTGCTAGTTTTAGCTTTTATTAACTGTTCTGCTATTTTAGCAGTTTAGTGAAGTCAATTTATAAAGATCATTTAAAACATCTTATAATCTGTTTAGCTAATGTTTTCCTAATTTGGGGTTTTAGTTAATGTTTTTTCAGTTTTAGCTTTTAACTCAACTTTTGTCGTCTTAATTTTTTGCAGCTGTTTTGATAATTTTAGTTTTTAGCTACTGTTTTCCCAGATTTGGGAAAACAGAAAATAGTTAAATTATAGCTATAGCTAAATGTTTATACATAATAAAACAGCTACAAGTAGTAGTGTGTGGAGTGGTGGCGCAGAGGTTAGAGAAGGTGGGTCTGTGATTGGACCATCGGTTCAACTCCCCATACCGACAACATCACAATGTGGGTGGGAACGGTGAAACACTCACACCTGCCTCCACCCTCATTTGCCCCACCCTGGGCCCTTGAGCAAGGCCCTTAAACCCCACCAGCTACTCACCCGGGCGACCTTAGATGGCAGCTCTATGCTTTGACAGTCTTAGTTTTTAGCTACTATTTTGTCAGTTTTAGCTACTGTTTTTCGAGTCTTAGTTTTTAGCTACTATTTTGTCAATCTTAGATTTTAGATATTGTTTTGCCAGTCTCAGTTAACCTAGTTCGGGCTTTTAGGTACTATTTTTCTACATTGAGCATTTGGCTGCAGTTCTACAAATTTTAGCTTTTAGCTACCGTTTTCCCAGTTTTGGCTTTTGACTTCCATTTTGCTAATTTATGCATTTAGCTATTGTCTTAGCTTGAAGAAAATATGGTCCTTTCATTTCATTGAGTTTTGCCAGTCTTACAGTTTTAGTTTTTAGCTACTGTTTTTCCAGTCTTAGTTTAAGCTACTATTTTGTCAGTTTTAAACAATTTTAGCTACTGTTTTTCCAGTCTTAGTTTTTAGATACTATTTTGTCAGTCTTAGATTTTAGCTATTGTTTCGTCAGTCTTAGTCTTAGGTTTTAGCTACTGTTTTACCAGTCTTAGGTTTTAGCTACTGTTTTACCAGTCTTAGTTTTTAGCTACTGTTTTGCCAGTCTCGACTAACCTAATTTTGGCTTTTCGGTATTGTTTTTCTACATTGGGCATTTGGCTACAGTTGTCCTAATTTTAGCTTTTAGCTGCTGTTTTGGTCATTTGGGCTCTTAATGAATGTTTTGCCAGTCTTAGATTTCAGCTACTGTTATTCTAATTTGAGATTTTAACTATATATTTTGTTACCTTTACAATTTAGCTACTCTTTTCCTAATTTAGACATTTAGCTACAGATTTACTAGTTTTAGCTTTTAGCTACTGTTTTGCTGTTCTTAGCTTTTGTTCCTAATGTTTTAAAGTGACAGATTTAGTTTCAGCTTCTTGAACAAATTAACGTTCACGCTAAACAGAAAACTTAATTTCTCCGGTTTCTCCTCTTCTTCCTCGCAGCTGACGTCTCATTCTTCAGAGTCTTTCTTCGTCTTCGGGTCTTTATCCATTCTTTTCAGCTTTCCTTCCATTTGTCTCCGTCTCCGGCCCGCTTTCTCCACAGCTGTTCGGTATTAATTTATTACTGTAGTGTTGATAATTCTCTTCATCCATCAGATTAATAATCCCGCTCTTCTCCTCCTCGCCTCACGTCTCTTTTCTCTCCAGTCATTCGGTGTTTCAACGTTCAAACGGCTGCATATTCATCACTGGATGTTCTGTTTGAAGCTTGTTCAGGTCCAAACTAGAGAAAAAATGTTTTCTGTTGACATGCAGTGTTCACCGAAGTGACAGCTGAAGGTTGGTGAAGAAGCTGAAACTAAGTTCTTAAAGCAAAAAGAAGCAGAACACAAGCTAAAAGCTTAAATGATCATATTATCAGGCTAAAAGTAACTAAATTATACTTAAAAGCAAGAAAAGCTAAAAGCTATAGACCCTATAGTTTGGTTAAAGAAGCAAGAGGCTAGTTAAAACGTAAAGTAGCAAAAGGGTAGCTGAGAGCTAAAAGGAACAAAATGCTAATTGAAAGTTAAGAGTCAAAAAAGATTAGCTAAAAGTAGCAAAAGACAAGCTAAAGTGGAAAAAAAACACATTAGGTAAAAATTAAAAGTAGCAAAAAAAAAAAAAAGCCAGAGCTAAACACAAAATGTAGCAAAAGAGTAGCTAAAAGCTAAAAGTAACAAAAAACTAGTCGAAGGCTAAAGGTTTGTTAAAAGTAACAGCTGATTGGTCGATGTCACATCAATCACAAATTTAATCCAATCAGAGAACAGATGGGTTGGACTGTTGAGGTGGAGCTTTAATAATAATAAATAATAATAAATAATAACAAGAATAAATTTAATGAGCCGCAGGTCGTGAAAGAGTTGTACGTTTTGAAGACGGAGGGCGGCGCCCGCGTTACCGAACGTGATTTCCTAAATTATTTATCTGGACAATGATTTTGTTTTTGTTCCACTAAACCATACACACAAAGTTTTGCACACATTTTTTTTCTTTGCGTCTGTAAACATTTCTCTTGACAGCTGATCGTAGTCTAAAGCTCGGGCATGGAAGGCAGAGGGCGATAAGCATTCCTTCAAGTTATGCAGGGCCTTGAATAGTTTTCAGGGTTTGGACCTTTAATAAGTGTATTAGAGCATGTTCAACACACAGGAGTGGTGGTGCAGAGGTTAGGGAAGGTGGACCTGTGATCGGAAGGTCGCCGGTTCAACTCCCTGGACAGACAACATCAAAAATGTGGGTGGAAAAGGTGAAGCACCCACACCTATCTCCACCTTCATTTGCCCCACTCTGGGCTCTTGAGCAAGGCCCTCAACCCCCACCATCTGCTCTCCCGGGCGCCCAGGTTGGCAGCTTCCTGCTCCACACAGAGGGCTGTGGTAGCTCGGTGTCTGTGGTTGCGTCAGGAAGGGCGTCGGGCATAAAAACAAATGCCAAGTCTTTGCGCGAGCTAGTTCGCAGCCGAAAGAAGAAAAAAAAAAAGTGTAGCATGTTCAACCATCAGTCCATCACTGCCGTATTAATTGTTAAACCTCGGTATAATTAGTGTTAACAAATGAGAACATGGCAGCGATGGCTGCTGGCTTCCACCTCACGCGCGCATGTTAATAACGCCTCTCAGAATAAGAACCAAATGTCTCAGGAACCCTGTCAGAAACCGCTTCCTGTTCCTTTTTTTTTACTGTAGGATATTGATGGCAGCTTTTCATTTTGTTCACTCCATCAATTTTTATTGCTTCCTTTTGCTCCGTGAGAACGGCAGAGTTCTTGTAAAATACTTCTGATTGACCCGGGAGATTCTGCTTGCTCGGTCCATCGCTGCTTTGCTTTCACTTTTGTTAGTAAACGGCATTTCATATCAAAATTTGGCATTTAAAGTCTGCTTTTATATTGATTTCATGTGCAAATCGCTACATGTACGCAGACTTTTAGGCGATTTCTTCCTTATCGTAAACAACTGCAAAAACATTTGGTTTGCTTCAGGTACAAGAAATACTTTGGTTGCAGAAAAGGTCCGGTTTTTGGACTAAACGGGTTGGCAGGCAATCGTGATTTTTTTTCCTTTGTTTGTGTGTTTGTAGTATTTATGACTCATTGGATTGATTCTAATGAAATTCATCCAGTCAGCCAGACAAAACATGGCTGCCACAGCCAACTGAGCCCAAAAAGGAAAATAAATAAATGGCTATAATTCTGCTAATTTGACAGATATTTAACTGAAATTTGGTGTGGTAGTAGCTGAGACTGATCCCAAACACAAACTTGTGATACTGTATGTATGTATGTATGTATGTATGTTTTATTTATTAATTTCATTTCATCCAAACAACAAATATAATACAATTTAAAGAAAAGAAAAAAGATATACAATCACCGAAATAAAATGAAAGGCAGCAGAAGAAGAATGAATTCTTATAATATCTGCCCCTTGTCCCCAAAATATATTCCAAACAAAATTACTATACAAAAGCAAGACGAATTAATAAAAAAAATAAAAAGATAAAAAATAATAAAAAAAACAGCTAAAATATAAGATCAACTGTAAACAATTTTTATGAACTCACATTATACTTAATTTTTTTTTTTTAATTTTTTTTTATCATCTTCTTGAATATGTACATAGTTTTGGCATTTTTAATATCAACCTCCAGATACTGTATTTACATAATGTAGTTTTTTAGGGTTAACCAAAAGAACTACAACTTTATTTCTAAACATATTTCTCTAAAACGCTGACATAGCGGGAGATGCATCCCGTGAAGGAATGCCGGGCCCTTTCATTTGATTGAAGTTCCTCGCCCGTTTACTGCAGTCAGATGACTTCCTGTTTTCCGTATCTTGTTGCATATTTCAGCTCCTAAACATGTGGATTTGATTAGTTACAAGATATCTGCTTAGGGATTATGTGGGATTGGATTTAAGCAGCGGCGCAGACGTTCTGATGCTTCAGACAGATTTTTTTTGACAGTTCCTCTCATGATGAGCTGTACTGTGGCTGTCTACCTATTGTTTGCTTTATTCTGCGTGTGTTGCAGAAGACAAAGTGTTCTGTTTCCTAATATCTGCCTTTTGTCTTCCTCTCGCACATCACAGTAACTCCTGGGTTCTTCTCTCTTCACTCGTGTCCCCTGACGACCCGGAGAAGAAAAGGGAATACCATCTGTTTGTCTGCATCTTTCTGCGTTGACAACAAGAGACATCTTCAGAGGACCGAGGCAGAACCTCGGAGGATGTGGAATTAGGAGGAACAAGCCGCTACGATACGAATCAAACGGAAACTATTTCTAACAAGTCCACCAGCGTGGAGTCACCTGACCTGTACCTTCAGCTTACAGAGCAGGGTCATGTCCCAGGTGCCATGCGCATCGCCACGCTGACCTGCCGCCCTGGCCCCTCCCCCTTCCTCTTCTCATTGGCCCATCTACTGCTGCGGCTCCTCCTCGCCGGGCCGGAGTTAGTGGGAGCCGCCTCCTCCTCCTGCCCGTCGCTCTGCACGTGCTCCAACCAGGCCAGCCGAGTCATCTGCACCAGGCAGAACCTGGAGGAGGTTCCCGAGAGCATATCAGTCAATACGCGATACCTCAACCTGCAGGAGAACTCCATACAGGTAAACACCGGGTGGACCAAGTCACGCAGTCAGGACAAAACGGGTCCAAATGTCCCACAAACATGACGTTAGATAACAGTGAGACAGTCAAGCATCTCCTGTGTCTCTGTCCTGAAATGAAAATACATTTAAAAAATATTTTGGACATTTTGAAGTTGGGTTCTGTAAGAAGGTTTATGTAGGTCTAGTAAGAACACCTAAAGAAATTAAACTTTAGGCTAAATTGCACTGTGAGGGCAGAATAACTGCGAAAATTGGCTGAAGTACCTAGAATCTAGTTACGAAAACAAACAAACAAAAAAAAAAGAAGAACACTAGCTAAAAGCTAAATGTAGCAAAAGGCTGGCTAAATGCTACAAGCAGTGCTTAATTTGAGCCAGATCCTGGGGAACGCTCTTGTTTTGACCAGGTGCGTTCCAGTAACTATTTGCTTGGATCCAGTAACTCTCAGGTTTACCAATAATAAAGTTGTGAACAAATATGACTGCCTTGAATGAATAAACCTATATTGGATATGTAAACAGAAAATAATTACATAAACACTCATTTTAAATACAACAGCCACTTACGAGCTTCTTAATATCACATTAGAGCTGCCTCTTGAAGTAGCATTTTCGCTTCTACCCTTAAAAAAAATCCTCCCCTAAAAGGGGGGGGGGGGGGGGGGGGGTGAGTGCCAAGCTAACCAGGCAGTCGTACATGGGCAGGAGCCCACAGGCAGCCGCCATGAACAGATGGAGGAGGTGCAAGGAGGTTTCACATGTGGAGTCGGACAACAGGACAGTGAATTCAGTGGAGTTGTGCTCGGAACCATCAAATACGGGGGGGGGGGGGGGGGGGGGTTTAGGATGCTTGACAGAAGCGGAGTGTTTACAATTATAGGTAAACGTAGATGTTTAACAACCCATTAAAATGACCAAAATGCAGGAAATCACATCTACTTTTATTCAAAAAAAATTCTGGGGGAGGACTCCCTCCACCCCCACCCCGCCTGCTATTTGCGTTCCGGCATGAATCGGTTTACAAATTAAGCCCTGGCTACAAGTGGCAAAAAGTTAGCTAAAAGACAAACGTAGCCAAAAGCTGCCTAAAAGGTAAAGGTAGCAAAAGATCAGAAAAAAGCAGCAAAAGACTAAAAGAAACAAAAGGCTAGCTGACATTAGGAAATAGAGCTAAAGCTAAATGTAGCAATAGACTAATTAAATGCTAAGTGACGCAAAAAGCTACCTCAAATGTAAATTTACTAAAAGGCTATTTAAAAGGAGCAAACGATTAGCCAAGATTAGCAGATGGAGCTACAAGCAGTTAAATGTTTGGTTAGAGGAAATTGTAACCAAAAAATAGCTATGTAAATTTAGCAGCAGGCTTGTTAAAAGAAAAACAACCAAAAATTGCCTAAAATGTACAAGTAGCAAAAGAGCTGAAAAAAGCAGTATAGGACAAACAAACAAAAGGCTAGCTGACATTAGCAAATAAAGAGAGCTAAAGCTAAATGTAGCAAAAAAAAAAATTAAATGCTAAGTGATGCAAAAAGCTAGCTCAAAGGTAAACTGAGCAAAAGGCTATTTAAAAGTAGCAAAAGATTAACATATATATAAGAGCTAAAAGCAGCTAAATGTTTGGTTAAAGCTAAATGTAGCAAAAGACTAGCTAAATACAAATGGTAGCAAAAGGTAAATTTAGTAAAAGGCTAGCTAAAAGCAAAATGTGGCTCAAAACTGGCTAAAACCCAAAAATAGCAAAAGACCAAAAAAAATAAGGGAGCAAATTACAAAAAATACCAAAAAAAGTTATTGAAAAGTAGCAAAAGACTAGCTAAAATCAGCAAATAGAGGCTAACGTAGCAATGGCTGGGTTAAAACTAAATGTAGCAAAAGATAAAGGCAATAATCAATGTTATGCAACAAACTTGTCGTTAAGAAGTTGCTTCTGATGGAAAGGAACAAGAACCGGAAGTTTTCTTCTAAAATCGTTGATTGTAAAACGACGAAAGTAGAAGATTCCTGAACCTCAGATCTCAGATATGAAGCTGAAAAATGTTTAAATTAGTAAAAGAAGTGGGCGGATTTCCATGTAATTGGATCCATCGTCACGTTGCTGACAGCGCTTTGTTCCTTCGTGGATTTAAGTTCGTTCCCACGACTTTTGAACTCCTCCAATTAAAAGCAAAGACGTTGTTGAAATCGTCCAGCGCATCGTCTACAATGTTGCTCTGCATGAAGGTCGCTGCAGCTCGAGCTGCAGAGGAAACGTCTTATTAAACATTATGTGACCAGCCAGAAATGGAAAATTGTGCCACTTGATATAATATGTGAGGTTTAAAGAGGAGCTGTTAAAGAAGGAAAGTGTGTGTGTGTGTGTGTGTGTGTGTGTGTGTGGGGGGGGGGGGGGTGTAATAATAAGCATATTTGTTGCATTTCAGCCTTGGAAATTTGATTCGGTTTGTCGTATCCTGCAGCTCCACTTGAAATGATTAAAAATCTAAAAATGTTTGAACACCTGAAGGCATCCCAGATTCTGTGGCTTATTTTTTCCTCCACTGAGTACCCTGAGAGTAAAGCCTTGACAGCTCCCACCCCCTCCTAACACCCCCCACCCCTGCCGCCTCTGCTCTACATACAGAAAATGCAAAGGCCCAGCTCCAGGAGTCCCTGAACGTCTCATAGATCTCAAACAACGGATGTTTTAGGGCTGCAATTTAATTTATGGGGGGGTTGAAATAAAAACTTGTTGAAGTCAGACTCGTTTTTTTGTTGCTGCCATGGACGGTTGGTGATCGTGCCGTTCCCCGTCTTTCTGAGTGAGATTGTCCGTTAGCAAAATATCTCACAAGTAGATGGATTGTAACAAAACTCTCAGCATCGTTGGATTAACGTATTCAACTTGATTATCTTTTGGAGTCAGCTACATTCAAGATGGCCAAATGAGCTTTAAAACACAAAAACTACTCAGTCAGTTTTACAGATTTTTAGCTAAAGTTGGGAGTGGTAGTAGCTCAGCACCCACACGTGGCAAGATCTCACAATTTTGTGTGATATCCATGATGTTCTTTACGAGGTTTGACCAAAAACGGATTCAACTCGTCTCGACATAAAATTATTTTTGTCTAACTCTTCGGCATAAAAGGCAGCGGGCGATATGCAATTCCTTCAGTGAATTCTAGCCCTTAAATTGTTGATTTACGGCTCTTCTCTCTCAGCAGAGCCGAGATATGGACCTGTTCAGTTACTAATGCTCTAAGTCAGTATTTTGATGCTTTCTTGTCTAAATAGATTTAAACCTACTTCCAGTTCTCCAGCTGTATTTGTCTTCAGTTTGTACTCGTTGCTACCAACAAAAAAAAATAATAATTTACCATAATTTCCAGACTATTGAGCGCACCCAAATATTAGCCATGCCCACTAAATAAAAAAATATACAGTAGTCCCTCGTTTATTGCGGGTGTTAGGTTCCAACTGCCCCCACCCCCACAACAATAAGTGAAAATATGTGAAGTAGCGACTATTATTTATTTTAGTTTTGATATTTTAGGGCTTTAGAAACCATTCTTACACTCTTGCAATGTTCTAAACGCTCATGTTAACAACATACGTACAGTACTGTATATGTAGCTACTGAATTTTTCTTACCAGGCTCTGCAGAGCACAGCAACAGCTCTCGGTTCCGGTCCGACTCGGTTCCAGTCCGACTCGGTTCCGTTTCTGCAGACGTACCCTGCAGAGATGAAGCCCACAATCAATCTTCTAAACTCTTAAACCTACTAATTTTAACAACATACTTATATGTAGCTCGTCCCTGCTCGGAGGTCCTCGTCGGCTGGTTGAAAGATGAAAAAGGTCTCGTGGGCTCCAAATGAAGCGCCGGGCCTTTAGCGGCGCACGTCCCCATTTGGAAGTCCTCGTGGGCCAGCTAGGAGCTCTCGGATTCACAGCTGAGTCTGGGGGTCCAGTTCTGGTCCGATTCAGTGCAGCCCTTGAACGCCGAAGCGCTTTTTGTGTGTGTGTGTGTGTGGGGGGGGGGGGGGGGCAGACCTTAGGTTGGCCAGCATAGATCGGAGATGGTCGATTGAGTCCAAGTCTGGATGAAAAAAATCCCGATGGGCTCTGGAAAGAGCGCCAGACCTTCTGCGGCACGCGTCCCAATTAGAAGTCATTGTGGGCCAGCTAGGAGCTCTCAAGATTCACCGATGGGTCTGGAGGTCTGGTTCTGCTCCGGTTCAGCTCTCTGCATCAGCTGGGTCACTGTAAATAAGCACCAAACTTTTTTCGATCAGATCAAAACTTTCCTTCTAGTTAGTATTTCAGCAGAAGGAAACGGGGCTCCTGGGCGGGGCCCTGTTGGCTTCTGGGAAACGTGGTCATTATGAGCCGGAATACAGCGCAAGCTTACTGAGAGAAAACTACGAAATGGCAGCACCTGTCCTAAGTATTTTATTTTTCGTTAACTTTTTACTGTACAGTACTGTATCAAGTACTGCCCCAATCACATGAGTAATATTAAAGTTGACAATCGTGTGTCCTGTACAAATTTTTTGTGAAAATATGTTAATGCGCATTGACAAACCACGATATAGCGAGTCCACGAAAGTCAAACCGCAAAGCAGCGAGGGACTACTGTATATAATTTTGTACATATATAGGCCGTGCTTGTCTATAAGCTGCGGGTGTCCACGTAACATGAGATATTTACAAAGGTTTTTTTATTTTTACTTTTAATTAAATACGTACTGGTAACATACACAAATACGTACAGTAATTTATTTATTTTTTCTGAACAATGCCTGTAACACGGCTGGTTAGAAAAAAATAAATAAATACAGTAGCCCACCAGGAAGTCATTGATCGCTATCTTCATCTTCCTCCTGCACAAGCTTGTGTTGTCCTGCTCGGCTGTCAGGATCCACTGGCAGACTTGAGCAAAAGTTGCTCTGCGCATGCAGGGGAGTCATCCCCCACCCCCCATGAGAATGGGGGGGATCCATCCCCCGTCCCTGTTCCTTC